GCAGGAGAAGCTGGGGATGTATGTACATGCATTCAGTCACCTGCTTCTGCCCTGTGTGGTTTCCTCTGGAACACTAAGTTAGTCTTGTAAACAAGAAAAGGCATTACAATGTGGATTTAAGAACACTAATAATTTGCACTTCAACTGTGAGCCCATGCTTCTGTAGATTTAAGCCTTGAAACTAGGACAATTGTTGTGATGCGGGTAGAATAAGCCCCAATCTCTTATAGTAAAATGCTTAGAGCAGTAAATATTTACTATTAAGCCAGCCAGGATCCATTTCCTCTAATTAAAACATTTTTATCCTGGTGCTGTTTCATCCCTTACCACCAAACAAAAAATGTATTTTAGTCAGTACTGCTCCTGAAAGTGATCCCATTGAGCTGGAAGACTGCAACTTCCCTGGACTGTAAAATCAATCAGAGATCATTTCCTGAGGGGCAGCTGATGATACAAGCCCCAGAGTGTGCCAGGGAGCAGTGAAGTTCCTTGGATAAGGACTGAAGTACCTACATGGGAGGAAAATGAAAGCAAGTCCATTTATTCTCAAATTTACCACTTGGCTTCCAAGCTCAAATTTCCAGCAGGATTTTTTCCCCCCAGCTTTAAAATTGTTGCTGCCATAAAATAGGTACTTGGGATTGGAACTGAACATATTTAACTTCTTCATATAGCTCAGGAGCTTACAGCCTATCCTTAGCATCTCTTCATGAATGAAGTCCTGCCAAGTCGGTAATTACAAGCAGGACACAGAGACATGGTGTTTTTTACAATTTCTTTTGATTGCTCATGTCCTACCTAATGCCTGCAGTGATGAAGAGCACCTTTAACTGGCTGTATTACTCCACCAGACATCACCATATTATATAATGGGAAGCAAAAATAATACAATTTAAATACAGGATATTGCATAAGGAACAGCTAATGCTGCACGCCTCTGAATTTATGGTGCCTGATTTCCTGTAGCTTCCTCTGCTGTGGAGTTTCCAGTGTTTACTAATGCAGCTCGGGCACACTGCAGCCTTCCTCTCTCTATGGGCACCAATTCTTTTCCAGCAGCTGCTTTTTGCCAAGGAAATTGCATAATGGCAGTTCTGCAGCTTTGACAAAGGTGACTGAGGTTAGTCACACAGCTAAAACGTAATTTTTGGAAGAGAAAAAGTGAACCAAACTCATTGACTCAGGAAATGAGTTTGCTGGTGTCATTTTTGTGTCCCCCCAAAGGCATTTATGTCGTTATTGTACCACTTTAAGTGGTATTTCCCAGCTACGTCTAAAAAAAACCCACATTAAAAAAAACCAATTAAAACCAACCAAACAAACAAAACCAACAAACCCCAAAACCAACCAAACAAAAAACATCCCAGGAGGAAATTCCCATAGAAGTGGAAAAGAAATATTTTTTTTGTTAACTTCATCTGTTCATTTCATCGCAGCTAGGATTTCTACTCTGATTTCTACCCTATGCTGTACAAACTGAAGATGAAGAACTCTTGTAACTTGCCCTCAAACTCACGCTGCCAGGTTTGTAAGGAGTTAACCAGATCATGGCCACCAAGAAGTGACTGAGTGACAATATTGGAAAGTTAGGTGAACAAGCACGTCAAAAGCACCCCCAAAAAGCAATTGAAGAGAACAAAGCTACTCAATATTTGGGAAGAGTAATATGACATGGACAAAAGACATGTAAAACTGAAATACTTCAACCACAAGCTGAAAAAAATGGCCTGGATAAGGCAGGGAATGCAGGGTGAAGAGATGAAAATCATGGAGCCAGGGACTATGAGAGAATGAGAAATGTTTTTTATATGGAGATGGAAAAGTCACCAACACTGGGACTGGCCTTAGCTGACCAGAACTTAAATTGTGCATTAACCAGCATAGATCCTTCTTCTCCCTTATGCCTTCCATGAGATGTGCTTGCTATTTGCTTGTAAGGCTTTTTTTAAACCTCATTTTAAGGACCTAGGGTGGAGTTCCTCCTTTCCCACCATGTTCATCATGCCAAGTACCATGCCAACATAATTTTTACATTAGATTCTAAGTGCTGATACAACGCACAGTAGTGAGCTACAAGGGATATGGGTCACATGAGGGAAATAGCAGACAAAAATCATTCCACCTGACAGACTTCTGGCTAAATTGAGTTACTTTTAAGAGTTCAGAGAACATAGGAGTACAAAGAACAAGATAACTGGGATGCAAAGCTGAGTTTTGGGCAGTCAGGAAAACAGTTGTCCAGTCATATAAACTCAGGAGGAGTTAAGCAGCAATGCAGACCATGAACGAAAAATCTGTGGCAGCGCAGTGCCATGCTAGCACAACAGCACAGAGAGGCACATTGAAAGATGAGGTTGTGAGCCTTCAGTGCATTTGTTTACAACATTATTTAAAATCAAGTTTACCCTCAAAACATATAGCCCCCTGAAGATAGAATGAAATTAGGTTTTTTTCTCCAATGCATTGAAATGTTACTTGTTACAAAAATCTAAATGGTTTAATTTGATTCTACAGTTCATGTCATCCACTGCAAAATCTGTGTGTTTTGGACAATTTTTTTCTTCACAGTACAGGAAAAAAAAAAAAAGAACTAAAGCCTAGCTAAATGCCCACCATGAAAACACAATTTTATTCCAAATTTAAACCTGTAAGTAAGCTTAAATTTTCAGTTATGAATGAGGGAAGTTTAAGCATACTGTAAAAGGCAAATGTATTTCCATTTTGTTTCTCTAGAAACCAACAACTGGTATTTGAGGGCTGGCACAGACTTAATATACTAAAGAAACCCCACCTCTGAAACAGAAAATAAATAAATATAAAATAAATAAAAATAAAACCCAGAAAAATAAAGCCTAGAAAAATTATTATTTCCCAAGTCAACACTTTTTATCTTGCTTGGGAAACAACTCAGATGACTTTCATATCATAGTTTGTATGCTTGCATAGTGTAGCACAAGGCAAAGGAGAATTTGTAACAAATCTACAGAAACCTTCTGGCAATACTTCTTTTAATACATCTTTTAAAATGTGTCTTCCAAAACCAAAATGAGCCATGTTCGATCCATTCCCTTACAAAGGAGTGACATGTTCTATATTTTGAAGAAGACAAAGACTTATATGGAAGATGTAAGTGACAAAGATGCGTTGGTGAGTTATGCAAGTTATCTGAAACAAGGGCCAAAATTCCTTTTACTGAATCATCACACACTCTGCATAACTCTTAGCTTACTATAACGCTGTTCATATATACATCTCCCAGTCTTGCACAAAGGAGAAAGTAAAAGCTATTTTAGAAGTAATTTAGGAAGCTTAAAAACCAGCCAGTCACAGTGAAATTTATTAGCATCTTTTCTACGCCTCACTTCAACTGCCACTTTATTGAAAAGTGTTATTCTAGTAAAATCCTTAAAAGGAATGTCTCGAGGCTTTCAATGACTACAAAGGACACTTGTAAAGTTAGCTGTTCTCATTAGTATACAGGGCCTAGGGTTTGGGGAGGAGGAAGGAGGGGGGGAGGGAAAGGAGATGCAAAATCGATGCATAATTATCAGTGGCAAAAAGTTCAAAACAAACTTGCCAGCTTTCAGAATTCCAGCTGACCCCCACCCATATATTTCTAACCATAATTAACTGTTCAGGCTCCACCAGCTATGTCCAGCTTTTAGCTTGTTTCCTCCAGCTTTTTTAAGTAATTAAACTACTCATCCCAGGGTTCAAATTCAGCATCTGCACAGCAAGTGCCTGCCTCCCTGAGCATCTAAAGGACAAATACAAGAATAACTAGTTCTTCAGTTGTGGCTGGTGATTATATTCTTTGTATCTGCTATTGAACTTTTTTCCCCGGAGAAAGAAAGAAACAAGAAAATTGCAAATAAAAATTCATTTGAAGGATAACCTACACAGTACATCATTGTATTAGAGAGTAAGAACTAATGGCAGATCTGAATCTTTTCCAAGTTGTGCAAAATGCCACGAAAGCAGCCCAAGGACTTCAGATGTTAGTAATTAAGGAGGTTCTAAAATGCACTGAACTTCTTTTCTTGCATTTTAATAGCTTTGATATGCAAAAACTGCATTCAACTTATAAATTAGTCAAGATAAAGCTAATAATAACATACTGGTCCTAATGCAGGAGGAATTCAGTAAGACACCATAAAATGCTTCAGCATCAGTTTCTAGTAGCAGCTGTGGCAGAGAAAGAAACCTAAAATATTTTGTGGATTTAATGTATTCATGAAAGAACTAATCACCACACAAGTAAACGTAGCTGCTCAAATTGCTCTCTTGGACAAAGGCAAACATCTTCCATTTTCTTTCATGTGGGATTGCTACCTTCTTCAAAGGAGAAGCTTTTACCTCAAATTGAGTGGGGGTTGGGAGATTGTTAAGCTCCAGTCTGTCTGATGCGCTCAGTTTTCATCTTGAAGCTCAATGACTCCTAAAAACCCCAACATAGGATTTTACAAAGGAAGCTATTCATAATAGGTATTCAAACTTACTGACCAGCATCGAATTATCAAATTTTGGTTTACAGATTTAAAAAAAATTTTTGATTGCTGCCTAGATCGCTTCTCTCTTTTCTAGAGAGTCTTTTTTCCCCTCTATCCTCAGAAAAAGAAAAAAAAAAAATCAAAACAACCCGAACAAGTGACCAACACGAGCCATGTTCCTTCCCCAGTACAAAATACCTAATTTTTGTTTCGGTATGATTTGACTTATAAATTCCAACAGCCACATTCTCGGCTGCTCCAAGGGGCGTCTCACGGCTTACGAATGAACGCTGCTGGCAAACAAAGGGGCTCAGTTGCATCTCCGTGCATTAATAACCGGTGTCCCACTGCATCAGACTATGCGGATTGTTGTGGGGATTTTTTTTTTTTTTTGCTTGCAAAATGGAGATCTTACAACTGAAACAAGACCAAGAGGGAACGTGCCTACACAGTTTTGCTCTCGTGAATCAGAAGTCATTTCCCCTTAACAATGAGACACAGACCCAAAAATAAAAACAAGACCACGTTTATTCAATACAGACAGGTTAATTAAGACAGTAAGTCCTGTAAATCAGGAACACATTTCAAACGCTCCGGTACGAAGTGCATATATTTAAAATCAACAGCTGCATCTTGTACTAGAGCCATTGAGTTTGTCGGGGAAGGGTGGATTCAGGGTTTTTCTTTTTGGTAGAAAAAACTTGTTTCGGCTACCTTATGTGAACAATGCATCTCAGGCTCCATTCACTCATTTGTTATTAAGTCCAGCTGCCTTCCAGCTTTGATATTCACATTTTCCAAAACTGCTTCATACAGTCACAACGAGAAATAATAACAATAAACGTTAAAATAACAACAAATAAACCCCCAACAGAAAACCAAACCAGCCCGGGAGGGGAAGGGAAACACCTCCCGCCGGGGTCAGCGAGGATTATTGCAAATGGCTCCTGGGAGACGGAAAAGCTCCGCGGCAGCGGGGGACCGGCGGCGGGGGGGTCCGCGGCCCCGGCCGGCTGCCCCGGCGGGGGGAGGAGGAGGAGGAGCTCCCGGGAAGGCAGAGCAGGGAGGGGGGCACAACAACAGCTCGGGGCGGGCGGCGTGCGCGGCATCACCGGCTGCGGCTCGGCGGGCTCCGCGCCGCGGGTGACCTTGGGGCGGGGGGACTCGGGCACCCTCCCGCCCCAGCCGGCACCGGCCCGGGGCCCCGCCGCCGGACACACTTACATCCCGGCGGAGCCCGCACCGCGCTCCCGCGGCCCGCTCGGCGGGGGCTCCGCCGCCGCCAGCGGCCGCGCTCCGCTCCTTCGCCCCGGTCACCGCCGCCGCTCGTCCCCGCCGGTTACTGCAGGGGCTGCACCGCCGCCGCCGCCGCCGCCTCGCCGTCCGCGCCGCCGCTGCCCGCCGAGGCGCTGCCGCTGGAGGCCGCGGATGCCGCTGCCGCCGCCGCCGCCGCCGCCGCCAGTTGCAGCCGCCGGACGGCTTCTTTGATGAGGTTGCCGGAAAGGATGAGCTGCTGCAGGAGCCGGTGCGGGTCCTCCTCCTCCGCCGGCCCGTCGCCCGGCCCCGGCGGAGGCTGCTTCCTCCGGCGGGCGGCGCTCCGCAGCCAGCCCCGTCCGCACAGCTGCTTGGTCACCCGTTGCTGGCCGCTCCGGTCCGGCCGCGGAGGCTCAACATGTTGCGAGTGAGCTTGCGGCGGGGCCGGTCCCCGCGGCGCCAGCAGTCCCGCCCCGGCCCCGGCGCCGCTGCAACACCGCGGCGAGTAGGGGGCGGCGCGGTCGCGGGCGCTGCCCGGCCCCAGGTGCTTGGGGGCGCGGGGCGGCGGCGGCGCCCGCTGAGCGCTCAGCTGCAGCACCTCGCCCAGCTTGGCCACCAGCGCGTCCACCTCCTTAGAGCCCGCCTGTCCCACGGCGACCGGGCGCTCCAGCAGCAGGAAGCGCTCGCCCGGGCGGCACGGCATCTCTGCCGGGTCCCCGCCGTGCCGCAGCCGCCGCAGCGGGACCGGGGCCGCCGCCCGCCCGCCGCCCCGCGCGCGCGCGAGCACACGCGGCTCCGGCGCTGCGGTCGCGGCTGGAGCTCGGCCCGCTGGCGTTGGTTTGTAAACAATGGGTGACGCGCGCGCCCGGGCGCCTCCCACTGCGCCGGCCGGGGGGGGAGGCGGGCGGCCCTCCGGACCAAGCGCTCGCCGGCCGCTCCCGGAGCCGGTACCCCGCGCGGGGAGGGCTCGGCCAACAGCACGGGGGCGACTTCCGTCGCCGGGCGCCGCCGCCCGGGCGAGGCCGCCCCGCGACCACCGAGCGCGACGCTCCTTGTTTCGTCCTCTTCCCCCCTCGTCTGTGCGCCGCGTGGACCGGCCCGCTTTCAAACCCCGCACCTCGGGTCTCGGGGGCGGAGCCGCTGTGATTGGCAGGAGGGGGCGGGGCGCGCGGCGCGGCGGCCGGTCCCGCACCGGCCCGTCGCCTCGGGACGGCCGCTTGGAGGGGGCACGGCGGGCAGCAGGGAGCGCGAGCGGCGCCCGGTGACCGCCCCGTGAGCGCCCGGCCAGCGCCCGGCCGGTGCCGCTCCCGCCCCGCCGTTAACGGCCCGCGGCGCGCCGGTGCGGGCGCGTGCCGGTGCCCCGTGAGCGCCCGGCGGTCGCGCGCGGGCGGCCGTCCCGCAGCGGCGCGCGCCGGGAAGCGGAGCCGGCCCGCACCGGCCCATTGCCCAGCGCGTCTCCCGCAAGGCTCCGCGCTGCGATCCGGCGCGGTCGCACCGCAGCGCCGGCGCTCGGCGGTCGTCTTTGCCCTGACTGCTGTGCCCGCTGGGTGCCCGCTGTGTGCCCGCTGTGTGCCCGCTGGGTGCCCGCTGTGTGCCCGCTGTGTGCCCGCTGCCGGCAGCGCATTGGGGTTTAATTCCTGGACACGGAAATGCCTTAGGAGCCTTACTTTGCATCACTAGAATTATCACGCGTGAAGCAACTCTGTGCAGGTGTTCTGTCGGGATTTCTCTCAGCCTGCGGCTTACTTCGTCACCTGCATCAAGCCTCTGCCCTATCTGTTCTTGTCCCAGTCCCGTTCCTTCCCTTTCTTCTGTCACTGTCATTCAAGCAGGGACTGAAATTTCTATGAGGAGCCCTAGAAAAGGTTTTCTGGGTGTTGGAACTCTGGGGACATAGTCCAGAACACGTGACGGGCCATGCGGTTGGTTTTCCTAGGAACAGGTTGTAAAGTGTAAGTTGCTCATATACATAACTGCTCTCACCACTGTGCCCTTGATTAATCAGTAAGCGGTTGGCAAAGGAGAGGACATGTCCTTTGGTCCATTTGTCCTCCTGTCCTCCTGGGCTACTTCCACTTGTTCTACAGAGCAAGAGAACTTGTGCATAAATGCACGTGTTTGTGAACATGCCTGCTATCTGCATATGGTACTGGTCACTCCAGCCTAGGTGTCCAAGCCCATTACTACATCCCCTGCCTGGATTTGTATCAGCTGGCCATAAATCATGTTACCTAATTGCATATTATTTATTCATGTGTGTACTAAAGGTACTGAGACTTTCTTATTTTAAGCACCTTTTTGGTAACTGTCAATTAAAACTCAGATCACGTTTTTCTAATGATGATGAAAAAATGAGGTTTTGTTGCCCCCTGCCCACCCCCAAATATTTTTGAGGCAACACTTTCACCTTTATTCCTTATTTATGCAATATCTATTCAAAAGCAATAGAAGCAGGCCTGCATGGGTACATGAATGGATCTACTTCAGCTCCAAGGGAGATCTATATTCAGATCACTTCTGAGTAGGTCATCTGGTATTCTATACAAGCAAAACTGCAATAAACCAGTACAGCTTATTCCAGCCTTTTTTTCTCCCACAAAAGCAAAATAAGCTATACCAGCAAAAGCTCAGTGCTGCTTGTGATTACGTCTACACCTGGGGCTTTCATGAGCCCAGGAATGATAATCGCAAATCGTGCTTCATTGCATCCCTAACCAACGGCAGTGCCGGGAAAAGCTTGCAGGATAGTGCCACAGACAGGGAGCTCAGAGCACAATCATTAGCAGAATCCTGATGTCCTCAGATTTTTTTAAATGCAAAATTTTAGTGATGACCGGTTGACAATGGACTGAGTATCTCCTTGTGGTTTTAGGACTAAACATACTGCAACTGTTTACACTGAATGCTACTGATCAGGATTAATAGATTTACTAGCTGAACAAAATGAGATTTGTGGACCTTCAGGAGAAGGGTGTTTCAGATTGTCCTCTTAGAGGAATTGGGAACCTCAGCCATTACTTAGGTACTATCTGCTCTTTTCACAGGATGATGAGAAAAAAGCTAAAATGCTGGAGAAGATAGTATATCCTATGTCTGTGGTTCTCCATCAAAGATTTGTTTATGTGGGAAAACTGTACCAAAGAGGGCTCAATATGAATTTACATCATAATCATATCTGTGGAATGGATCTCAGTCTGTCAGCACCCAGAGATCTTTCTGGGACTAAACCCCAATCCAGCTAGGGGCAGATCTAAACTGTCTGCAGCCATTATCGGATGTTCCTGGCAGAAGTACTACAGCAGTTCATGAACAGGTAGCTGTTTGCTAGTGCCTCTCCACAGAAACGAGAACAACTTCAGCAGTGGATTTTGCAATAAAGGGGCTGTCATAGGTGTCCTGATGTGGAGTTTGTGAGCGTAAGCGACAGGGTTGGCTGCCAGGCCAGCCCCAAAGAAGCTGAGGCCTCGTCAGTTCTAACTATCAGGTCATTTGGCCAAGTCATGAGTAAGCTATAGTTTACTCACTGTGTTCTCTTTTTAATTAGGAGAATCACAGCCTGGTTATCATACTTGGTCTTCTACCACTGGAGATGAGCTCTGCAGCACTGCTTTTACTTTAGCAGTTTAACACAGTAATCGCAATTTTAAAAATCCCCAAAACCTCAAAGCATAGAACACTAAGGATAGGAGGAGGTTTTTTTCAAAATAAAAGTATAAAAGCAGTTGCAAAACTGCTGACAAAATTTTTCAGATCTCTGACAGTATTTTTCTGAGCAGAAATTTGATAATTACCATTGCTGCTATTTTTTTTTTTTTCCAGATGCATTTCTGCGTATGGTCTGCTGGGATTGCCAAAATTCTCATGACAACTTTTCATCTAAGTCATTCTATTAGCAAGACATTACAGTTGATCACAGTCATTGGTCCCTTTTTGTGATTATTGTTCACTTGCACTCTCACTTTATCTGTTCAAATGTTTAGAAAACAGTTTTTAAGATACTTCTAGTAATACTTGTCTTTCAGCTATTCCTAGCAGAGGACAAAATCTAAGTTTCATAAGCAAGTACTAATTATATTAATTATGTGTCCATCTATAAAAATTTGACATAATTTTATTGTGTTTCTTGAGGGTACATTTTCATTTCAGAATATAAAACTCAATTTTTATGTTTTACCTTTTGTACTGATCCTGACAACATGGATAACTGGATGTGAATTCTGAGCTTTAAACCTATTAAAGACAAAGGAAGAAAACACTTAAATCCTTTGAAGTCTGCAATCCAGTGTCATCTCAGTCTTTTGACTACATGTATGTGTTCAGGATCATGCACATGTTCTAATCTGTTATGGAGAGCCTGTAACCCAGTAGATGTGAAAATTATAAATAATACTACATTTATGCAGGTGTTTACATTTCATACCCTTTTGCCAGAGCTGCATGATCTGTAACCTCAGACTTTGGCATGTGTAGAAATGAATCAGGTTGATAAATTCATGATAGAGACTACGTAGTGTTGCATCACAGTGTTAAAGTATTTATTGTGTTGTTTACAAAACAGTAAGACAGCTTTGAACAGGGTGAACCCAGTGACTAGGAGGTTCTTTCCAGTCCTTTCTTTCTCCAGGCGTTTCTCATGTCCTTTATTTTCTACAGAAACTTCTGTAATATTTGTTAAATATGCAGAGCTTCTCTTTATAACAATAGTGTCAATGAAGGGTGCTTGTGCAAAGTAAATTATTTTCCTGTGCACAGTTCAAATGCAGAATGCGGAGGGGCCAGAACACCATCCAAATAAGACAAGTTTGGATTCCCCAATAATTGTTTTGTCATCTGCATTTATAATAGATTTCCAAGAACAAAAGACATTCCTCTAGAAACAACCGAGGTTGCTAAGTGACACAAATGTATTTACTGTGTCATAACTTGCAAAAGCCAAGCACATTAAAAGAAGAGCTTTAATAAGCAGCAGTTCCATCAATCTCACCTTCACTCCCAGGGTAAATATAAACCTGTTGGCCAACAGCTTTGCATAGTTTGGGATGCCCAGTCTGAGACCTTAATGGAAACAGGAAACATTAGTTGTTTTAGAAAATACAGACTTTCACTCTTAAGGAATTGAAATATGCATACTTTGTCCCAGTGGATGTTTGGGATTTGTTTCTTTCATGTATTATTTCAGTTTATCCTTATTCAATTACCTAAGAATTTGCATGTAGGGATACTGCTTCCTAACAAGGCTGGAAACTACACTGACAGTTTTGGAGGCTGAGTTATTTATTTTTGGTGAAATTATCACTGTTTCTTATGTCTTTTAGACACATAAACCCTCTCCAGTGTTTTGGGGACAGCAAAAAGCTGGCATCTTCTTTTGTCTTCTCATCTTCTTCTAGTGTCTGACACACCAAACTGCTGTATTTCAGCTTGTCCAAGCAATCAGAACACAAGGCCCTTTGGAAAGACCACAGTAACATTCCTCTGGCCTGATATGCTGATGCTTTTCTTTCCCTAAGCTGCAAAATCTCTTTTTCCTCCTCTGATACACTCAAGATGCAGTCAATGCCTTGTGCCTGCAGCAAACGTGCAGAAGTGGACAGTGCAGGAATTGCTTCCGAAGAGCGCATTGAGCTACCTGTTCATTAGGAGCTGCCAGGTTGCCTTGCACAACAGCCTCTGCTAGTTTAGGAATGAGACAGGAGGCGTGGGAAAGGAGCCTACAGACGTCTCAGGGATGCACTAAACTACAGGGCAACCCAGTCTTTGTTTGTTTAGTCAAATAATTGACTCACTTCCAGCTTTCCTAATAACTGGAATACATTTTAATGGTAACCTGTATAATAAGTAATGAGCCAGTGTAATCCATTGTGTGGGCTCTCATAGGTTTCCCATATAGGCAATTCCTGAGAATAATTTCCATTTGTTTAATCTTTTCAATATTGCAATACAGGAAGCAGAGATGAAAACAATATATCGAACCACTCCTAAAATGTCATTAAATGGACTTTAGGAATATATCTTTAAAAAATAGCAGATTCATGAGAAAAGCGCTTTCATCTTTTGTCAAAATACCCTGCACATTTCTGTATATCCGGGCAAAATCCCTGTGCTTGTTTCTATACCTTCAATTGGTAATTGTTTGTTAACCAGACATGTCTCTTGACAGTTCTGTTAAAACAAGCCTATCTACAGTGAATACTGAAAAGCCACGATCAATAAACTAGTATATAATGATTACAAGTAATGTGTCTCACTCAGCATGTAGGGCAAAAAAGAAAAAAAAATA